GGATCAGCCGCCAATGGGAACCATAGAGAATGGGATAAAAAGTTCCATAAGCACCACATCGGCAACAGAGTCAGCGATGGTGCTGAGATCATCCATTATGAAGCAAACCTTTCCCCAGGAATAAGATGCAAATAAGGACCGCATCCCGTCCCAGTCTGCTGACCTGTAATGCCACACACGGCGGAAACCCGCAGAGCGTTCTGCGCGCGATGGGCACTACGCTCCGGAACAGACAGTGATCTGACGAGCCAAGCGGGGCATCGACAGAAACCTGGTAGTGGTCCGGAGGAGTGGTCAGCAGAAGGTCCAACAGGGAAGGAGAGTGATTTAGCACATCTGGATTCGCGTAGGCATAGTGACCAGCTACGTTAAATCATTCGCAATGGCAAAGTCGACAGACCTCCTCGCGTGATCGGTAGTATATGAGCCGAGCCAGGCGACGTGATGGGCGTTAAAAAAACCAAGGATCACGATCTCTGCTGTTTGGATCTATTGTAGCACATAATCTGTTTAGGTGTGGTTGATCAGTAGGCCTGTTTCGGTATTGCCCCTATAAAGGCACGCAAAGACGCGAGGATGGTCATCGATGTCTACACGTAGCCTATGATGGACTGGTTCTTACCTTCGAGGCTGCTGAGACGAGAACAGATATCCTCCCTAACATACACACACACTCCGGCTCGGGGAACAAAGGAGTATTCCAATCCGTACCCCGGATAAGAGACATATTATGATGTGTCTACCGGAGAAGATATCCGAGTCTCAGTTAGAAATAGCAAGGACGGCTTTGCCGTCTCAAGGTGGCAGTGGACGGCATTTAGGTTGGAGTGAAATCACCTAATATTTGAAGAAATGCACAGAGAAGTGGTAGGGGATGCACTGTCCATGCTACGCTTGCCTGAGCAGAGGGCAATGGAAAATCGAAATATCAACAAATTTATTTTCTCATAGAAACTGTTCCTACCTATCAAACATTTTTTGCGTGCATTCCGAAAATTCAGAAAAAAAATCAAAAAGAAAACAAGATTCCCTGAACACATAGAAAAAAAAATTTCTAAGTGATGTGTGATTCGCCCCAAACATTTTTCTTTACCCTACAAATTCCATAGGAATAATTTACATGGCAAAACAACGTTTGCCGGGTCAGCTAGTATATTCTATAAACATCCTATATATTTTTTTTAAACATTTCCCTTACTTTTGGTTAACATTATCCTGTTTTGTAAATTTCACGCAAACAAATACCCAGATGCGAAACAACTATCTGTGGGTCACACAAATATTTGTCCCGTGTGGGAATCGAACCCACGGATCCATCTTATATATTTCATGAATATGTAAATATGTGATTTACTAGGTTTTGCATCACTGGCGAACACGCGGTTTGTAAGCAGAAATGTGAGTTCGATTGATCGAGTTATAACGTACTAATTGGCCTACAAGGGAATTATAAAAGTTACTTGGAAGTGTACTGGCTCGGAGGTGCTAATCGTTATTTGTTATTATTTTAAAAATAAGCAACTTCCCTCCCTCGCCGCTGCCGTTGAGCACGTGATAAGTGCGCACTTAAAATTTACAATTTCATTAGTGCCGATACCGGTATTTGAACTCAATTTGAATTAGCTTTTAATTCAAATCGCACGACGATGGACTATCGCTAATGCCCGGTTCCTATACTCAACGAACGGCCGTTACATAGCTTCGTAACTTTCATAGCGACCTGTAGATAAAAGCCGTGTACGCCCGGTTCCAATATTAATAAAAGGAGACGTTTTCCTTACGAGCCGTTGCATTACGTACACGGAACGTTATGTAACGAACGAACATCTACGGAAAGTGAGTAACTAGCGTTCCTTTAGTCTACTTTAGCTAACGGCCGTTCGTTGAATATAGGAACCGGGCATAAGGCGCACTGGAACAAACCTACTACTACTCGACCCATTTTGCACTGGCAGCATAATCCACGTTCCAGTCTAATTGTGAACAATGAATAAATTCTCCGTTAAACCTTCATTTCAGTTTAAAGTTCCTTATTCAATATTATGAGCTCTTGTTGAATGTCAAAAAACTACCACCGGTTCACTAAACTAGATCTGTCCAGAGAAGAACTGGCAAAAAACTCTGTGGTCTTATCTTTTCTCAAAATATACTACACAAAATTATATAAGTAAAAAATTAGCAGCATCGAGGGGACTTGCAAGTTCAGAGCAAGAGTCATTTCCACGCATCCTTGTCCTCAATGTATTCTTCGACAGTAGGCCCTTTCCATTAAGGTAGCTTTTACAAAATATTTGAAGTTGTTTACACTTTCATTGATGGTTTCAAAGGAAAATTCAGGCGGTGAAAGATCATAATATGATCAACGGGTTCTTCTAGTCGTATTTTTTCTACTTGAGCGAAACGATAAGGCTCTAAAATGTATTCAGGGGATGTAAGAAATGAAAAACACATAGAATCGAAATCCTGCTATATTTAAAGCTATGACGAAGGAAATCATGAGAGTATCACAATTACATATAAGAGATTATATATACATATATATCGTACTGCTTCAATCACCTTCTCGGTAAATTAATCCTGACTTCAAGAGTAGTTTGCGAAGACCGTTTTAGAAGTCAATAAACCGAATAACTTTCGGTTAAAAATAAACGATACAAATTTACATCAAACTTTACAAGTCTCAATGACACTAGGAATCTTTTACATAAACAAATTTACAATTTAAACTTTTTAAGCATCGATAAAATAAACATACCCTAAAGTATTACATTAATATTTAAAACTCTTAAAATGTCGCAGACTTTTTGAATCCATAGTAGAGATAATTTTGTATTAATAAAGATATTGTTTAAATATTCAAAGTTGAATAGTTTACAAAGAATTCAAAGCGTTAGCAGGTTGGTATCAAGATCAAAACTTTAGTAGATAGCGTTCACAAAATCAAAGTATTCTTGTAAAAATTTAACAGCTTCTTTGATCGTGACAGAACTATTAAACAAAGCGTACTTGGATATGGGTGTCCAATCAGAGAAATTGAACCGCGTTTTATTTTCAAAGTGTATTTGGATAGGAATTGATTTAACGCCATAGTGTCTGTTGTCGAATCTGTCGCGTCTGATATTATTCTGATTGAATTTGGTCAAATGTATGTAAACATTGAACAAAGGTACTTTGTTCAAACGGACTTTGATTGTGTCGACGCATCTTTAACCGTCTAATAGTTTCTTTGCATAATAGCAAAGAAACCGACAACCGATTTACCAGCAGACGGTATTTAAAATTCATCTCATTTTTTTCTTCATGGTAACATTTATTGCATCTTTTCATTGCCAAAAACGATGTACGAAAATCAAAGAGTGCAAAACGAGACCGCATCGAACAACTAGAGAAATCTAAATATTTGCCAACATTTAATTTATTGGCATATTAATAGCCGACATAAAAGTATACAGTTGCTTATAAATAAATTTAATTATAACAGCTAAAAGGAGAATACAAAATGTACAAATAAGTATTACAAATTCGCATCGGTGTTTCAGAGTAATAGATGAACGCCATCTAGCGAAGATAGTAAAACGTATCCTTTAAATTACCGTATAATGGTATCCTTTAAAAATATTTTTCATACATTACATAGCCACTACAAAAAACGAAAAAATCTCCGCCGTTTAATTATAGATATTAAGGTAACCAGATTTCCTTAAATATGTATAAAAGAGCAGTCTTCCAGTGACGAATGAAATTCAAAAAGTTGCAATAATACAGGAACTATCATTCAGAAGTTGCAAAATATTAGGTCAAAGTAAAAATCCGAATTGACAATCTAAAGGTATCTTCTGATTAAGTAATGATTCCGAACTTTAATGGTGTATCTTGAATTTTAATTCATCATACTGGAACCAACGCTCTTGCTTATTTTATAAAGATAGTACAGTGTGTGTTAGACTTTTAACAACCATAGATAAGTCCACTAGCTTATAGAAATAAATAGATATTTTTATAACGTACTCTTAAGAAGTCTTAACGATGGGATTTATACGGATCAAATTCTAATCAGTGGAGCAGTCGAAAACGCAGCTACCGTCAGAACGCAGAACATTTATTTTATATAAATGTTATGTGAAATTGATTATAATTCACTATCAATATTATAATGTCATTTAAAAAGAACAAAAAAATAATTATGTTTCAAAATAGACAATTATGTATGTCGAAACGGTCAAAAAGTTGTCATTGGACTATAAAGTGGTGAAAATTATGATACATAATATTCGAATCGACTCCAAATCTACCCCCACTATCATCTGGAAAGTTGGCCACGCACTAGCCTTGACGAGTGCAGCTAATATTTTTTTTATGCGAAAAGTTCTCAAACGAGCAGACGGTTCACCTGATGTTAAGTGAATACCGCCCACCCATGGACATCTGCCACACCTGAAGGTTACAGATGCGTTGACAACCTTTTGATAATTGGGCTCCGGCTACCTCACTCACCAGACGATACGCGAAAGTATTTGTCATACTTCCACTTTACGCTGGTCTTCTGTGAGGTCGTGGTACTTACGCGGACGGGCCTGCCCATTTGTGAAACAGCCGAGGCTGCTGCGTGGCCTTACCACCGTTATACCTACCGTGGTACTTACCCAGTCGGACTGCACATTCTTGCAACAGCAAAGACTGTTGCTGTCACACTAGCTTCATAGGCGATAGAAATAAAATATACCACAACATGCCAGATTGAGGACATTGCGGGTGTTTGCGCGGCAAGAGTTTACGACCTTACCATCGAAATCGAAGACTATCGCTACTAAGCAAGTGGGATAGCCAGCCAGGCACAGGACAGTTAGTAAAAGGAAGACGTATGATTCGAGTGGACGAGGGTGGAGAGATTGCGTCATCGGAGTAATGTTCACTAAACGTCACGTCGATATTGGATTCATGTGCCGTTCTGACGGTGTCGAGTATCTCGAATGCCCCACGCCGCTCCGTGGCCACGTCTAGAGCGGTATGTATTCCCTCAACTGCTGCAGGGTGTCAGGATCGGTCGATTGCAGGAGACGGTCGAATGTCTCCGCGCCCACTTGGCCCTTCAGCGTCTCCAACTGCAAGGGGAAATTTTTAAACGTCATCTTACGATTCAGTAGCCTAATGCCTTGGGTCGATAGTCTAGGAAACTTAGACTAAACTAAAACTGGACGGACGAATTAATTCATTTATTTGTACCTCAGGAATCGTCAGTTTCAAGAAAATACAATGTATATATGAGGGTTGACGTAGATTTTTTATCTCGATAACGATATTATTTACCGACCGTTACTAAGAAACACTAAACGACAGTAATTTATTACGTTGCACGCGATAAGTACAGCTAACCAAACTTCGAACGTACAGATGTAGATAGAAGCAATGTTCGCTATTGCGGTCTGACGCGTGAAGACTATAATTAGCCGTAGCTTGCCGTAGCCTAGAGTAGTTACATTTTTTTACTTCTTTTATAAAACATTGCCCTTACTTTGGGATAACATTATCCTGTGTTGTAAGGACGATTTACAAACATAAATTTCACGTGGACAAACACCCAAATGCGGAAATATTATCTATGGGTCACACGAATAGTTGTCCCGTGTGGGAATAAAGCCCACGAGCCCATACATTGCAACTGCGCCACGGAGTCCTGATGTTATATGCAATTTCCTAGTATTCCCGTAACGCAGAGTACCGAAGTAGTTACATGTCACGTTGCCATATTGCCATAGCGCAGTGTGGCGTAGTAGTTACATGCCACGTTGTCTTATTGCCGTAGCGCAGAGTACCGTAGTAGTTACATGCTACGTCGCCGTAGTAGTTACATGCTACGTCGAGTAGCGTAGTAGTTACGCGTCGTTACCATTTTGCCGTAGCGCGGCGTAGTGCAAGCGTAGCGCGGCGTAGCTTACCTGGTGGTGCGTGACGAGGCGCAGGTCTACGGCGTGGGCGGGGTGAGCGGCGGCGAGGCGGCGGCGCCGCGCCTCGTGCGGCGTGTCCTCGCCGCCCGCGCCCGCCCAGCGCGCCGCCCCGCCGCGCCCCTCCAGCGGCGACGCGGGCCGCGACCCGGGCGGCGCCACCAGCCCGCTGCGGGTTGCGGTGCTCACACAATGCTCTGTCTGTTTGTCGCTCGCGGCTATCATGGGGTATTTGGTCTGACGCGCGGGACGGGGGCAGGTAGCGAAAGGGGGCATCGCGACCTTTCGAGTTATTCACTCGAACCTCTCTCGTCGCTCACGGGTGGCGTAGGGATTTTTGTGCAGCTCTACCTGTTACCTCCTCCGTGCTACGCGTCTGACGTGAAGAAAGGGGGCGTCGCGACCTTTCCAGCTGTACACTCGAAGCTCTGCTGTTGCTCACGGGTATCGTAGGGAATTTTGTGCAGCTCTGCGGCGCGTCTGACGCGGGGTACCGAGGAGGTAGTGAAAGGGAGCGTCACGGCTTTTCGAGCTGTTCACTCGAAGCTCTGCTGTCGCTCACGGGTATCATGAGGATTTTTGTGCAGCTCTACGACGCGTCACACGCGGGGTATGGAGGAGGTAGCAGAAGGGGGCGTCGCGAACTTTCGAGCTGTTCCTACATTTACTAGCCATAACCTACGTTTGCTGTCCCTTAGGGACGAAGTGTATGTAGTAAGCCCGATGTTTTAACATTTCCATTTATACCGGGTTCGGACCTCGGTGACCCCCGAACGAGCCGACCCGTTCACGCGAAATCGGAAACCGATGCGTCGCTCCACAACAGTCTAAAGGGGCCTCTGCTTAAATCGTATTCTTTTACTACTCACTCGACGTACGTCCCGTTCTCTTCTGTCTTCATAATGTCGTTCAAAACCTCGCAGAGATTCAACAATATCGCCGGGAACCGCTGCAGCACAGTCGCGTTCTGCGTCGTCAGAAGGGCGGCCAGACCCAAGCCTGAAAGGAAACATAAAAATGAGAAAACAAAATGCAGAAACCAAGGCGCCAGTGCAAAATAAAAAAAAACTCAAATAAGTGGAACAATTCATTGAAAATCATCGAACAATTCATTTACAAGTGCCTCGGTCGACATTTCGTGGGTGTAAGTGTAAAAGTAAATAAATATGTATAATAATATTATATATATAATAATATTATATTATATAATAATATTATACATATTACAAATAAATTATTGTGTATAATAATGTAATTGGAACGGCAACGCAACAGTTTCGGCTGTTGAACGAATTTGCAGGTCCATCCATGAGGTTTACTGACCGACAACCTTCCACCTCTCCACTTGGGTCACGAGGTTCATCTTCTCCGTCCACACGTGGAGCACCCTGGCTAGGACCTTGGCCGGGTCGGAGTCATACTCGGCCAGGCCGGCCGCGGCCTCCTGGACCGCCTTGTAGAAGAGGTCGGACGAGAGCAGTATGACCCGCGAGAGAAGGCACAGCTGCACGGATAGCACCATCGGCAGGTCGTCCCCTTCCAGCAGGCACCTGGAACCAAGCGAGAAATTTACGTTAAAATATCTATGCAATATAAAAAATGTTTCATTTGATTTGTATGACGACTGACGCAGTGGGTAGTGACCCTGCCTCTTGCGCCAGAGGGCGTGGGCTCGATCCCCACTACTGAAAAAATGTTGTGTGATGAACATAGCGTTTTCACTCACCAGACGAAAGTATTATACTTCCACTTTACGCCGGTCTTCTGTGAGGTCGTGGTACTAACCCGGACGAGCCTGCCCATTCGTGCAACAGCCGAGGCTGCTGCGTGGCCCTACCACCGTAAATATTTATTTACAAAAAATAGGTATGTTTATAAGTTTATATAGTACAAGTATTGCTTAGCTTGGGACAACAGAAAGTTGTGCTGTATCCAAAATATACGTTTTATTTTCGTTTGTGTGAAGATAAGCTGTTTAGCTAAGTGGCTGGACGTCGGGCGCGGATATATGACGCACGGCGTAGTGAAACTGCGTTCTAATCTAATTTGCATACGCGAAAAACTTCGTCCACTTTTCAGTTCTTTTTAATAATAATCGGTTTTAACGGCGCGAATTTATATCTACGTAATAATAGCATAAGACTCCGATCAACGATTAATAAGTGAGCAGTGATCGAGCTCACCGATCTGGGCAGCGGTATAAAGCAAAGCTTAAAAGGAACGTGCGAGTGGGAAAATTGTTTTCACCCTGTTCTGGTTCACTTCTAATATTACAAGCTTCCGACACATCGGATAGCTTGAAATCCAGCGTAAAATACTCCAAACGAATCCTGCCCCCCCACGGCCGGGGGCGCTGCACGTTCGGTTACCCCCCCCCCTACCCCTGCCCCATCCAAACCCCCCCCCCCCCCCCCCCCCCCCCTCCCCTCCACGCACCTGACGACCCTGACGAGCATCGGCCACACGACCCTGACGCCGAGCAGCGCGTTCCTCTCGGGCAGAGCGACGCCGACGCACAGCTCGGCCATCTTGAGCGCGGCGATGACGCCCTCAGTTCTCATGTCGGCCAACAGCTCGTCTAGCAGCGCCATGCAGCGGCCGCCGGCGCCCAGCAGGAACTCCTCGGGGCAGAGGAGCGTGTACGCCTGCATGATGTACACCACGATGCGCAGGTGCTCAGTGGATTGCTCTGCGGACGGGGCGCTGGATGAGCCACTTAGCGGCCGGGTGTACGGCGCTCGCTCGGCACGTTTGTGTTGTTTTTTTTTAAACTCTACCCTCACTTTTGGACAACGCAATCCCGTGTTGCAAGGACGTTTTACAAACGTGGACGAACAGCCGGACGCGAAACGGCTGTCTGTGCGTCGCACGAATAGTTGTCCCGTGCGGGGATCGAACCCGCGACCCCCTATACCGAAGCCTTGGCAACTGCGCCACGGAGTCATCGAATTCAATATTCTATCTGCATATCGATTTGGTTACTAGCGATAGGTTAGTGACGTTAGTTCCATAATGCTTACGTCAAAATTATATCTCCAGTAACCGAATCGATGTGTAGATACAGTGCTCGAATATCGAAACCGGCCGTTAGGCAATCAAAATCAGAATCGTTTATTCATCGACAGTCAGCAGTAAGTAGTAATCGACATCACCAAATATCATTTAAGTTCTATGCTATCGATATATTAACTTACATATAACATAACATTTAAACTTTAAGAACAGGTTCTGATCAAAATAAACTATTTTAAAACGACTTATATTTTATAATTAACCATACCGCAATGTTACTACCGCTTATGTGGCGGTATACAGTAAGTTAATGTTAAGTAAAATAATGATTTTAGTTGTTGTTTATATATATATATATAGATATATTTAACTGGAAGAAATAAATAGTAAAGCATTCGCTCTGCCTTTTATGACCGGTTTAAGTAAAAATTTACCGTTATGGCTTAGCAAGGCAAGCTAGTAAGGAGTACCAGGGGTTCATAAACGGTAGAGTGTGCACTGTACTTTTTATGACAAGACAGAGACGGCCTTTCACAGTCGGAAATTAGATATAACTTTAGAAATACTACTAGACTGTCTGGAAATATAATTTGGCGTTACATCTCACTGTGAAACGCCGGCTTTACGCACCTGTCCCAAGACGGCAAGAGATTTTCTCTTTTATTTACTAAAATGTATAAAATGTCACATAAAACTGCTTTACCCGTATGCTCCGCCTTGCCCGAGATCATTGATGCTGTAAAGTGGTCCATCCCGGGACCATGGTTGCGGTAAAGGGGAAAAAATAGGAATTAGAATAAATTATAACGCCTTTTTCATCAGAATGAACTAAATTGTATATGCTATACACGTAGCGATTAAAACAAGTTTAAATAAAACAAGGCAATATGAACTACGCAAACATTAATGCTAACTGGCGTTTCTGAGTGCGGCTATACGTCGGTCAGACAAGTATTACGAGTATAAGTACCGGGCGTTGAAAATAATATATAATTTTCATCTATAAAGAAAGTCTTGCTGAAATATTTCGAAGTTGCATGCATGAGATGTTTTTTACAAATAAAATAAACCGCACTACAATATTTCTAACTTCAGTATTTTTTTAATTTCGTTAGTGGTCGAAACAAGGCAATGAAAAATAATGTGTTTGATTTTATGACTATATTAAGTCCAACACTATTAAGTTAACGCGTCTGTTGAGAGTAATTTTTGAAAATATTTGAATAATATTTAACATAGATAAAATATACAGCGTGTCGGTACAACCGCGACAATAAATGAACACGTCTAACGCTACATGCCAATAATCATAAAAATATAAAAAACATTAAAAAAATCCATAATTAAAAAAATATATTTTTCAAACAAACTAATTAAATAAAAAAAAACAAAATTTGAAACATCCTATACAACTAAAACTGACTGACTCATACATTCAGAGACGATTTCATTCGTTGCCACAACGTCGCATTACAAGTCTCTCCTTCTAACAGTACGTTTTATCTCTTAATAATTCATTCAACCCATTCATATACTTTGTGACCTTTACAAATGAACTTTACGTTATAGTTTTCTAAGAAAGGGTGTTCTTAAAATCTTTGTTTTGTAAAATTTTATCTTTGTTTTGTAAAATTTTATAACTCAAAAAAGTTATTCTCTATATGTGTGTTCATTTATTGTCGCGATTGTAACGACACGCTGTATGAGTATTATACCATAACACATAACATATATAATTATACATCTGCACTCAATAAAGTTCGACCGAGGCAATACGATTATTAGGAGCACATAAAAGCAATAAAGCAATTTACTGTGAAACAAAAAACACAATATTTGAAACTCTAACACCAACAATATAGACAGAGACAGATAGTGTGATGGTGTTTCACCGAGCTCTTTAACTCTTGAAACTGAAAAATTAATTTTAATTAGAAAACTACAAGACCAGAGCAAAGTGAAGTACCAGGAGGTCATAAAAAGTATAGTGCGAACTCAAAATTGGTGTTCAAGAAGGAATTTTATTTAAATACAGCAACAGTAAAACCTTTTAACTATTCAATCGGCAAAAGAATTACTATTTTCTTTGAAATTAGCAATTCCTTGCATCATCAACCCAAACAGATTCCTACGAAAATTAATGATATTTAAATGAGATGACGTATGTCCACACTACACGGTATTTAAAAATTGTTCTGCTTTACATTATATGACATATATAAGTGAACGTGAGAGATGATATAGAACGTATGATATTAGTGTCATATCTACCTCCTATTGGTATACAATATCATTCACCACAAGTAAATTTTTTTATTAACGAAAAACAAAACCGACTAAAAATATTTAGCTCTGTATCCATTTTATAATTGATTTTCAGGAGTTCCCTACTTATATCTGGAGCCCAAGATCCAATACCAATGAAATTAAATATGAGACCACATGGGAAGCACCAGCTTTAAACAAAAAAAGAATCATCAAAATCGGTTTACTCAGGCGAAAGTTCTGCGGTAAAAAACTTAAAAAAAAATTATAGTCGAATTGAGAAAGTCCTTTTTTTCAAGTCGGTTGAAAATAGAGCGAAAATTACTCGACTACCTGTGGATAGATGCACTAAAAGCCATATATAAGCACATCAAATTTGTTAAATACTATCAAGCATCTTCATCTCTTCCAATCCCATACAACTACGTACATGCACGTCAATTAATAATTCTCTGTAGTATATTTTTATGTGAGAAAGTGGCAAACGAGCTTACAGTCCACCTGATGTTAAGTGATAACCACCTGCCTATATACATTTGCAACACCCGTAGAGTTGCAGATGCGTTGCCACCTCTTAATAAACCCGGCTACCTGCAACACTTCCAGTTTACGCCGGTCTTCTGTGAGGTCGCGGTACTAACCCGGACGGTCCTGCCTATTCGTGCAACAGCGATCACTGTTGCGTGGCAATTGTTTGACTACCAGCCACCCGTCTAGCTACAGGGGCTGCGCTAAAGCTCCAAAAACCCCCGCGAGGAAAGCACCCGCAAAAATTACGCTCGCGAAAATCGCGGCCCCGAAATCCGCGCCGGCGAAGTACATTCCCGCGCCCGCACCCGTCGTAAACGCCTGGGCGAAACCTCAGGCAGTCGCGCAGGTAGCCGCGCCTCCGGTCGCCTCACGACCGACGACATTCCAACCGCAGCCTGTCAAACAACAAGCACCGAGGCCGCAGGTGCATTTTATTACACCGGTCGTTTCCGCGAACCAAGACGACCCTTTTGCCCAAATGGCAAACATCTGCAGCTTCCTGGAACGCATAAACCGGGAAGAGCTCGCGGTCCTATCTACAAAGTTATCGGCCGCCACATGTGGCACCGATCGACTTAATGCGCTCAACGAGCACAAAAAACTTGTAGACGCCCTTTGGGTGTTTACAAATCAACCATGAAGGTTTATAGTCCGGGCAATAAAACCGCGCTTCGGCGCGTCGTTACCTAGAACCGCTACTAAAACTAAAATGGAAAGTACAACCGCAGGTAGATTAAAACCTCGGGCTCTGGTTGTTTCGTATTTTAACGCAAACGGCATTAGGGGCCAAAGGGACGAAATCGCAGAATTCCTTCGCGATTATAACGTCGATATATTTCTAGTGCAAGAGACCTTCTTGAAACCTAGCAGACGCGATCCAAAAATCGCAAATTATAATATAGTCCGCCACGAATGGTTAGCAAACCGTCTGGGAGGTACCTTAATATATTATAAACGGTCCTTGCACTGTAGCCCGCTCGATATCCCAGAGCTAAGACATATAGAGGCATCCGCGTGTAGGTTAGCGCTCACCGGCCACAGGCCGCTTGTACTAGTTTCAGCCTACCTCTCGGGGAATAAAACTCTTCTACAAAGCGATTTAGAAACGCTACTTAACTTAGGCCCTTCCGTGATAATTGCAGGAGATCTAAACTGCAAACACGGCTCATGGGACCCCCAAACTTACGCTAACAACAACGGTAGGCAGCTCTTTAACTTATCTGACGATTTAAATTACAGCATAATCGCTCCTGTGACTCCCACAAGATATCCTACGGTGGACGATTACCAGCATTCGACACCGAGTATTCTTGATATCATGTTGTTCAAGGAGGTCTCCCTCGACATCGCGTCGATAGAGACAATCCAAGAATTAGAATCAGACCACAGGCCGGTCCTGTGTAAACTGGGCCAGAACGCCGGCGCGGTCCCTCCGACCAAAACCGTAGTGGACTGGCATCGCCTTGAGGTCAAACTCAAAGCCTTGGACCCCCAGCACATCGCCAACCTACCCGAGACGATAGCTACGTTCGATGATGCAAATCGAGCGATAGCAAGTCTTCGCGCATCTATCACTTCCGCAGTTGCAGATTCGGAACGAACAGTGAAACTGTCGGGCGACCGACGGTTTAACTTTCCACCCGACCTAAGACTGCTAATTAGACAAAAAAAAGCAGCCAAACGAGCTTTCGACCGATACCGATCAGAATCGAACCGAACCCTACTTCGACGCCTTCAGCTAGAAGTTAAGATCGCGTATCGGACGGAACACCGACATACCGAGTGGGACACTCTACTAGAGGATATCGAGCCATCGCACACCGCCTACTGGCGGTTGGCCCGCAGTCTGAAAGCAGAGCCCCGCGAATCCCTACCGCCGTTAGCAATGCCTAATAGCACTTCATTAGCCCTAGATGACTCCGAAAAAACCGAATGCCTTGCGGACAACCTAGAGCAATGTACGCCATCGCGCGAACACATCGACACAGCCCACTTAACGGAGGTGGACCGCGTTATCGAAACTAGGGCTGCGCTTCCACCGGAAGGCGATCCATTAAACTCAGTGACCCCCGAAGAGGTCCAAGATATTATCAAAAATTTAAAACCCAAATCCGCCCCGGGCCCAGACAATATTAGTAATAAAATCCTTAAAGCTGTCCCTGGCCCACTTATCTGTTTACTGGCGACCATTTACAACACTTTACTCTCCAGTTGTTCCTTTCTGGACGACTGGAAAGAAGCCACGGTTATCGGCATTCACAAGCCGAATAAACCAGCCAATCAGCCCTCTAGTTATCGTCCCATCAGCCTCCTCAGTTGCCTGGGGAAGCTTTATGAGCGGCTTCTATTAAACAGGCTCAAAGAGCCCGTGTTTTCCAACGGCCTTCTGCCGGCGGAACAATTCGGCTTTCGAGCAAGACATTCCTGTCCCGATCAATTATACCGCCTAACGGAACATATCCTAAAAGGCCTAAATCACCCTAAACATATTAGCACGGGGGCTCTTTTCTTCGATGTCGCAAAGGCATTCGACAAAGTCTGGCACAACGGCTTGATTTACAAGCTGTTCTCACTCAAAGTGCCAGACAGGCTTGTACACACCATTCAGGCCTTCTTGTCGAACCGTTCCTTTCGATATCGAGTTGAGGGCGCCCTCTCCACGCGCGTTCCACAAGGCTCCTGCCTCTCACCCTTACTTTTTACGCTCTACACGAGCGATATACCAAAAGACCCCCACGTCAATCTCGCGCTTTTCGCGGATGACACGGCGCTCTTTTATTCAGACCTCAACCTTAGTCAACTAACCACTCGACTCCAAAGCGCCGCCAACCGCCTCGGCGATTGGTTCCGCAAATGGAGAATTGAAGTAAATCCCGAAAAGAGTGTGGCGATTCACTTCACACGAAGTACTTACCCGTCACATCTTTATAAAGGTCGTCGCCAATGCAGAAAGCTAGGGCAAATATCTCTTTATGGCCAACCGCTCCCCTGGGAGAAAAAGGTAAAATATTTAGGAGTCACTTTCGACTCGCGTATGTCATTCACAGCTCATATTAATAACGTCCGTAACAGAGCCGCGTTCGTCTCCGGCCGGCTAAGCACTTTAACTAACCAGTCAAGTAAAATGTCCTTAAGACACAAATTACTTTTATACAAAGCTTGCGTACGGCCAATCATGTCCTACGCATGCATGATTTTCGCACCCTACTCGCTTGCACAAGTTGCAAGTAGTGCAAAATAAGTTCATCCGCCGCGCAACCGGTGCGCAGTGGTATCAACGCAACGTCGACCTGCACAGTGATTGCAGACTCCCGATGATTCGCGAATTTTTCAAAGACCTGACCAAACGGTTCTTCGATAGAGCCGAACATCATCCCAACCCTCTGGTGGTAAGCGCAGCAAATTACCAACCCGATCCAAACGCGAGCGTCAACAAGCGTCGCCCGCGAAACGTCCTCATCGACCCAGTCGAGGAAGGGGACTTAGGTACGTCGGACCCACCGTCGGGGGTCCCGCCGGATAACACAACACACACAGTTAGTGTAGCAACAAACACATTAGTTCGCCCTCGCCTCCGAGCACGGCGAGACCCACACAACGCGTACACAAGGTACACCCGCGTTCCTGGGCGGTTCTCACCGCCCCCAGCCACCGATTAGCTAAAACACAGTCGACGGCCATCGGGGTCTCGGTCCGCACCGCAACTTCGATGACATGTCGTAGTTAAACGCACGCATGAGCACATGCGCGGCCCTACCCACAGCGGAGGGCCCAAACCCGTGGGTTCTGGCTAGCCCACCGGTTCTGCGTCAGATGAAGCTTTAATAGTCTCTGGACTGAAAGCACAAACATCAGTTAATACAAGTACAAGTGTTGCGTGGCCCTACCACCTTAAACTCTCTCTATCTCGCTTTGACACTACAAACTCTCTCTGTTCTCCTCTCACTCACCCAATATGGGATACAAGTTGTCCGCTAGCTGCAGCGTGGCTTGGTCCGCCGTCTGCGACGTCTCGAGTATGGCCAGCCAGAGCTCTAGAGCGTCTTCTAGAAGATACACGTGGGCCGGCTCGCTCAGTTTCGTTGACTCGTTCACCACGCTGAGGATCCATGGACGCATGTTCGGCGCGCACTCGCCTAGCGCCTATAATCAAAATATTATAAAAGTTCACTTTTTTTATGAACAAACAAAACTGACTTCAAATATGTCACTCGCTGTACATTTTCTATTTGATTTTGGAGAATACCAACACACTTTTATACTTTATGACAAAAGTATTGCATTAAGACTGTCATTCATTTTTTTATAAACACATTTTAAAGCAGTAAAAATATATATATGTTAATCTTAATATTACCTCCTAATTGGCCATTGTATTTAAAACATGATCTCTGAAAAACATGAATCTTAAAGAAATAAATAGTAGTGATGTAAAAATATTTTAATATCCGGGGGACTGTTGTATGTATACTGTTTTATGTATCGATTGAAGTGAGATATTTGCAACCATTAAGTTAATTTACTATCAACTATTTAATATCAAGCAAAACAACTCGAAAAGGCCTAGTGGGACAGGACTAGATGGAGTGACGACCTGTGCAAGTGTGCGAGAGGTCGATGGATCGTGCTTCGTAGCAGTCCGTGGGAATGTCCTATGTTCAGCAGTGGACTCGAGCGGGCTGAAGTGGTGATGATGAAGACGATGAAACTCCCACCTTGACCAGGTGCACGACGGCCGCCAGGGCGGCCGCCCGCAGCATGTGGTGGTGGGCGGCGTGGTGCCACAGCTGCGGCAGGTAGGCGAACAGCGGCCCGGCGCCGCCGCCGCGCGCCACCCGCGCCCCGCACCGCTCCGTCACGTACGACACCACGTGCAGCACGTGCATCTTCGTGTCGCACTCCTCCGACTCCACCTGCGGGGCGAGCGGCTACAGCTGACTGTCTAACCGGCTACAGCTGACTGTCTAACCGGCTACAGCTGACTGTCTAACCGGCTACAGCTGACTATCTAACCGGCTACAGCTGACTGTCTAACCGGCTACAGCTGACTGTCTAACCGGCTACAGCTGACTGTCTAACCGGCTACAACTGACTGTCTAACCGGCTACAACTGTCTAACCGGCTACAGCTAACTGTCTAACCGGCTAAAGCTGACATAAACGAATGGAACGAATGATTGAACGAACTCACAGGCTGGTACGTAAACGGCCGACGTGGGTAATAAAAACATAAGCAAATGGACAAACTAATGGCGAACGAACGAAAGAGCGAATGGGAAAGCGACCGAAGTGGGTATCACTACATAGAATAAAACAAAGTCTTCCCACTGTCTGTCTGTCCCTATCTATGCTTAGATCTTTAAAACTACGCAACGGATCTTGATGCGGTTTTTTTACTAGTGATTCAAAAGGAAGGTTTATATGTACAACACATTGCACCCGTGCGAAGCCGGGTTTGGTCGCTAGTACAGGAAAAACATCAACGAATAGATGAACGAACGAATAAATGAATCACCGAACGAATGAATGAATGAACGAACGAACGAATGAATGAACGAACGAATGAATGAACGAACGAGAGGGCGGATGCGAAAACGGCCGAAGCGGGTACCAGGAGGTCATAGAGAGCGGCGAGCGCGTGCGGCGCGAACGGCGCGAACACCTCCACGTCGAAGCTGAAGTCGTCGATGGTGCTGCGCAGCGCCTCGGCTGCGGCGAGCTTCACGGCGGGGTCTTCACCACTGCGGGTGAGCGGCTCGATGAGCGCGGCGTACATCGCCGGCCGGAGAGCCTGCGAGGCGCGCACGCCGCTCCACTGCCCTGCGAACGCGGCGATGGATGACGAACAACGTGAAAGAGACGGCTATATCAGCGCAAGGTTTCCTTGTACCTGCCAGTAAAAGTTGTCTTTACCCTTGTCTAGTGTTGTAAGGACGCCTTACATACATAAATTTCACATGAACAAACACCTAGATCTGAAACAATGATCTGGGTGGGTCACACAAATAGTTGTTTCGTATGGGAATCGAACCCGAAGGCAATACTTTAGCAATTGGTATATATATATATATATATATATATATATATGTAGGATTAATTATTTAATAGTTGAGTAAAAGATGATTTTTTGAACGAAGTATTGTGTGAATGAGAAGGATGGATGACGTAAAAGGGATTGAGGGACTTTTCGCAACGACGCCACGAACGAATAACGTGTATCTGTGTCTTAAAATGTATTAATTTAAATAAAGATGAAAATAGTAACAATATACTCAAAATAAAGATTTTATTTATCCTACGCCTACATATATATATATATGGAATTATTTGGTATACTATAAATTTTAAAGTTTTTTATAGTGCTAATCTCTGCACTTAATATTGAACATTAAAACATGTAGAAAAAGTACGAAAAGATTGTCGCCGCTGTGGGAATCGAACCCTCTCTCGAACCTCTTCGGCATTCGCGGCCTGACGCTCTAGCCACTGAGCTAATAGGCTGATAGCCACAGCGACGAAAATCTTAACGCCTTCTTTCTACATTGTAATTTAGCATTTGAAGCAATGCTTGGCGCATCTATTGTTATATCTAGTAAACAACTTTTCCAATGCCTTGCTGTTACAATCTACTTATTTATTTATTTATAATTACATATCATGTTCAAGAGAGAAAAAATTCGCCATAAACGCAACCCCTTAAAAGACAAACAAGGCTATAGCTCTGAGCTTGATTGATTGAAACAACGCTTGAGATGCCGCTGGAAATTATGCTGATAAGCTTGTCGTGTACCCACCAATCAACTGACAGACTCGCCTCCTGATGATCCTGTAGTTGTTGTCTTTGATTTTGAGCTCCTGACTTAGCACGTTGGTGAACCACTCGTCGAAATCGACCTGGAAAGAGGATCGCAATATATCAAAGTCCCATAAAGTACAATCTCTCTATTCTATTAAGAAGTGATAAGAGACAAAAGTCACTTAAGTTTATACTTAAGTGACTTTGTCTCTATGTAATATGAAACCGAAAAAGTATCTCACTACAATGCAAGACCGTAGTTTACCGTCAAATTTTGCCTTGCAAAAATCGGCTAAGTCAGAGACCTTACGCTTACAGTAGCTTCATCCATTACATTAGCTACGCTCTCAACATTAGAAAACAGTCGCTGTAGCCGAACATGTCTAGGAGATGAAGAATTTTGTATTATTTAAAAAAAATACAAGACCGCAGTGTCTTGCCAGTTCTCTGTATAGGTAAAGTTTATAATGACTAGGTGATAGTTTTTCAACGATCAATAGCTTAAATTAAGCTGAAATCGAATAGAGAAATTTTGACTTTGACTTAGAAATTGGCCGATGGGGAAGAGCTTATATTGAATAAAGTAATTTTCACTTTGTCTTTGGCCGATGTGTAATGAGCTCACGTCGTCGTATAGGTCGAATGCGGCCAGCCCCACGGCGTTGTAGACGGCGTCCTTCTTGAGGATGGCCGGCAGATCGTCGGGGCTGATCTGGCTGCGCTGCACCGACGCCAGCATCTGCACCAGCTCCGGCACCAGCGTGTCGCGGTACAGCTGGAACAGCTCCATGAACACCGCCTCCGTGCACGGCTGCGGGGGGAAGGGGGTGGGGGCCATAGTAACAGACTATAAATAAGGTATAATTCAGATAGGTATGTATGATACTATCCTCTATGCACTAGATGGCGCCAAAATTTTTAAAGTTTCTTGAGTGCGGAGAATAGTACAAAAAAAAGTTCATTCTGACATTTTTATTTTCATCTTCACGTCTGGAATGTTCTAACGACTGGAATGTTGAAGGAGTTGATGAACGTATGTCATCAACTCCTTCAACATTCCAGTCGTTTGTGATATGACGACGATCTTAAAACGTTGACTGCACTTCTCGCAAGCAACGATGAGCGCTCACCCTGAGGCTGTACTTCCAGGACTCGCCAAGAGAAGTGCGACTTCTAGCAAGCAACGACGAGCGCTCACCCGGAGGCTGTAGTTCCAGGACTCGCCAAGAGAAGTGCGACTTCTAGCAAGCAACGACGAGCGCTCACCCAGAGGCTGTACTTCCAGGACTCGCCAAGAGAAGTGCGACTTCTAGCAAGCAACGACGATCGCTCACCCTGAGGCTGTACTGCCAGGAATCGCCAAGAGAAGTGCGACTTCTAGCAAGCAACGACGAGCGCTCACCCGGAGGCTGTACTTCCAAGACTCGCCAAGAGAAGTGCGACTTCTAGCAAGCGACGACGATCGCTCACCCTGAGGCTGTACTTCCAGGACTCGCCAAGAGAAGTGCGACTTCTAGCAAGCAACGACGAGCGCTCACCTGGAGGCTGTACTTCCCGACTTGCTTCTAGCAAGCAACGACGAGCGCTCACCCGCGACGAGGCTGTAGTTCCAGGACTCGCCAAGAGAAGTGCGACTTCTAGCAAGCGACGACGAGCGCTCACCCTGAGGCTGTACTTCCAGGACTCGCCAAGAGAAGTGCGACTTCTAGCAAGCAACGACGAGCGCTCACCCTGAGGCTGTACTTCCAGGACTCGCCAAGAGAAGTGCGACTTCTAGCAAGCGACGACGAGCGCTCACCCTGAGGCTGTACTTCCAGGACTCGCTCACCGACGACGAGCGCTCACCCTGAGGCTGTACTTCCAGGACTCGCCAAGAGAAGTGCGACTTCTAGCAAGCGACGACGACGAGCGCTCACCCTGAGGCTGTACTTCCAGGACTCGCCTAGCTCACCCTGAGGCTGTACTTCCAGGACTCGCCAAGAGAAGTGCGACTTCTAGCAAGCGACGACGAGCGCTCACCCTGAGGCTGTACTTCCAGGACTCGCCAAGAGAAGTGCGACTTCTAGCAAGCGACGACGAGCGCTCACCCTGAGGCTGTACTTCCAGGACTCGCCAAGAGAAGTGCGACTTCTAGCAAGCGACGACGAGCGCTCACCCTGAGGCTGTACTTTCTAGCCAGGACTCGAGGCCTTCCAGAAAGAGAAGTGCGACTTCTAGCAAGCGACGACGAGCGCTCACCCTGAGGCTGTACTTCCAGGACTCGCCAAGAGAAGTGCGACTTCTAGCAAGCGACGACGAGCGCTCACCCTGAGGCTGTACTTCCAGGACTGGCAAGAGAAGTGCGACTTCTAGCAAGCGACGACGAGCGCTCACCCTGAGGCTGTACTTCCAGGACTCGCCAGAGAAGTGCGACTTCTAGCAAGCGACGACGAGCGCTCACCCTGAGGCTGTACTTCCAGGACTCGCCAAGAGAAGTGCGACTTCTAGCAAGCAACGACGAGCGCTCACCCTGAGGCTGTACTTCCAGGACTCGCCAAGAGAAGTGCGACTTCTAGCAAGCGACGACGACGAGCGCTCACCCTGAGGCTGTACTTCCAGGACTCGCCAAGAGAAGTGCGACTTCTAGCAAGCGACGACGAGCGCTCACCCTGAGGCTGTACTTCCAGGACTCGCCAAGAGACAGTGCGACTTCTAGCAAGCGACGACGAGCGCTCACCCTGAGGCTGTACTTCCAGGACTCGCCAAGAGAAGTGCGACTTCTAGCAAGCGACGACGAGCGCTCACCCTGAGGCTGTACTTCCAGGACTCGCCAAGAGAAGTGCGACTTCTAGCAAGCGACGACGAGCGCTCACCCTGAGGCTGTACTTCCAGGACTCGCCAAGAGAAGTGCGACTTCTAGCAAGCGACGACGAGCGCTCACCCTGAGGCTGTACTTCCAGGACTCGCCAAGAGAAGTGCGACTTCTAGCAAGCGACGACGAGCGCTCACCCTGAGGCTGTACTTCCAGGACTCGCCAAGAGAAGTGCGACTTCTAGCAAGCGACGACGAGCGCTCACCCTGAGGCTGTACTGTGCGACTTCTAGCAGGACTCGCCAAGAGAAGTGCGACTTCTAGCAAGCAACGACGAGCGCTCACCCTGAGGCTGTACTTCCAGGACTCGCCAAGAGAAGTGCGACTTCTAGCAAGCGACGACGAGCGCTCACCCTGAGGCTGTACTTCCAGGACTCGCCAAGAGAAGTGCGACTTCTAGCAAGCGACGACGAGCGCTCACCCTGAGGCTGTACTTCCAGGACTCGCCAAGAGAAGTGCGACTTCTAGCAAGCAACGACGAGCGCTCACCCTGAGGCTGTACTTCCAGGACTCGCCAAGAGAAGTGCGACTTCTAGCAAGCGACGACGAGCGCTCACCCTGAGGCTGTAGTACTCGCCAAGCGACGACGAGCGCTCACCCTGAGGCTGTACTTCCAGGACTCGCCAAGAGAAGTGCGACTTCTAGCAAGCGACGACGAGCGCTCACCCTGAGGCTGTACTTCCAGGACTCGCCAAGAAAAGTGCGACTTCTAGCAAGCAACGACGAGCGCTCACCCTGAGGCTGTACTTCCAGGACTCGCCAAGAGAAGTGCGACTTCTAGCAAGCGACGACGAGCGCTCACCCTGAGGCTGTACTTCCAGGACTCGCCAAGAAAAGTGCGACTTCTAGCAAGCAACGACGAGCGCTCACCCTGAGGCTGTACTTCCAGGACTGTACTTCCAGGACTCGCCAAGAGAAGTGCGACTTCTAGCAAGCGACGACGAGCGCTCACCCTGAGGCTGTACTTCCAGGACTCGCCGGCCTCGTCGGTGGCGAAGCTCTCGGGCTCGGCGTCCCACAGCGCCAGGTCGTCGGCGCTCAGCGGGAAGTAGTGCGTCACCAGGTGGCGGCACATGTGGCACACCGCGCCGCGCTCCAGCACCGACGCCTTGGCCTGGTGCGCCTGCATCACCACTGCCGGATAGTAAAACAAATATTAGGTAAAGTACACAGCCTATAAATATTCGGCCGCTGCTGGGCAAAAACCTCGTTGGTAAAGGGAGCATTAAGGCATAGACTGCGGCTCCACTGCGGATTGGCGGACTTCACATGTTTACACTTTATAAGAAGATTTACATACTTTGACTCACATATTGTTCGTAAAAGCGCATTTAAACTATGTTTTATAACTGTGGTAGGGCCACGCATCAGTTCGCTGTTGCAAGAATCTGCAGGTCAATCCAGTCATAAGACTGGCGTGAAGTGGAAATGTTACGCTTCTGGCTTCTTCTGGTGAGTAAAGTAGCCGGGGCCCACTTTATGAAAAGTTGGCAACACTGGTATTGCAAATGTCCATGGGAGGTGTTTATCACTAAACATCAGATGAACTGCCAACTGGATTACCACCTTCTGACATGGAAAAAATATATTATCTTCTAGAAGGAGGCTTCTACATGCTTTGACATACAGGGTGTCCGTAAAAACGTGTATACAGTGCGGGGTAAAAATCCAACTCACACGGGTCTTTGGCCGCGTCGACGCCTTTGGGCAGCTTGTACTCGACGCACTGCAGTATCGCCTTCACAATATTCAGGCACTGTATCGTGAACCGCTCGTATATGAGCGACATCCCCTGCTCCGTGAAGCAGTAGAAGAGCGCGAACTCGAGCGATGGGCGAATAAGGGGCACGTACGAGAAGGGGTGGAAGCATAGCACCCCCAGGGCGACCTTCGTCAGGTGTATTATGAACTTCTCGCACAACTCCAGAGGGTAGATGCCGCGCCCCTTGAGCAGTTTGCCTGAAATCCAGATTCCCTCATCAGATTTTTAACAGCACCGCACCACGGTTTGAAATTGAAGGTACTTCAGGTCCGTTTGGGTTAGTACCACAACCTCACAGAAGACCGGCATGAAGTGGAAGCGTAACACTTCTGCGTTTCGTCTGGTGAGTGAGTTAGCCGGGGCCCACTTTATTACGTGGTGGAGGGACATGTGCAACCCTACGGTTGTTGCATCACCCATGGGCGGTGGTAACCACTTAACTACAATGCCACTTTCTCACAAAAACAAGTTCAATGTTATTGCGAAAATGTTTTTGGATTTTATTAGCGCTTTTCAGAAATCGTATACTGCATACGACTCCTGAAAAGCGCTAATAAAGTAGTGTACGACCCGTCAGGAGTGGGGAGAGTGGGTAAGAACCTGCGTCTTACGCTATAGGGTGAGGGTTCGATCCCCACTGCTGGAAAAATATTTATCTATTTATTTATTTACTAGCTGACCCCGAAATTAAAGATCTGAAAACAGAAAAATATTTTTTGGAACGCATGCATAAAATGTTTGACGGGTAGAAACAGTTTGTATGAGTAAATAAAATTGTTGCTATTTCGATTTTCCATGAAATTTTTCCATAACTTCGTTTAAACCTTCCCGGGACTGCCACAAATCTTTCAAAACCAAAATTAGCCAAATCGGTCCAGCCGTTCTAGAGTTTTAGCGAGACTAACGAACAGCAATTCATTTTTATAAATATAGATTTATTTAAAACTATGCACATAAAAAGTACAGGGCGGACTTAACAATATTGTGTGTTTAACATAGTGTTTTGCCAGTGTATGGGTGTTTATATATGTATATTTATATGTATATGTATTTATTTACAAAAGAAAAGTATGTTTAAGTATGTTTAACAGTCTATTTACCCATAGCACAAGCATTGCTTAGTTTGAGACTATAGAATGTTGTGTAAAAATGTTGTGTCCAAAATATTTATTATTTATAGTGTGACCTTCGAGAAATATGTATATTTATTGCTCTACATCTCGTCGACGCACAACATTTAACGTCCATCCACCTAGCGAAGAATCTTTGTCGCCATTTTTATATACCCCAGAACAGTATACCTATGGAGAAGGTGGTCGGGCCACGCAGCAGCCTCGGCTGTTGTACGAATGGGCAGGCTCGTCCGGGTAAGTACCACGACCTCACAGAAGACCGGCGTGAAGTGTAAGTATAATACATTCGCGTTTCCGCTGGTGAGTGAGGTGGCCGGAGCCAATTTTCAAAAGGTTGCCAACGCGTCTGCAACCCTCGGGTGTAGCAGATGTCCACGGGCGGCGGTATTCACCCAACATCAGGTGGGCCGTCAGCTCGCTTGGCAACTTTTAACATAAAAAAGCCACTCACGACACTCGAGGCTGGTCTTGGCGCGGTCGAAGACCACGTCGAGGAAGGCCACCGCGTCCTGGCTGTCGTGGGCGTTCTTGAAGCCGAACACGGTGAGCTTCCTCAGCACCCTGAGGCAGAGCAGCGCCTTCTCCAGCCGCTCGGTGATCAGCTCGGTGGCGGCGCCCTCCTGGATGTGGCGCAGGAACAGCTCCGTGTTCTCGTGCCACAGTTGCAGGATGAACGAGTACACGGAGCTCGTCAGCTCCTTCAGTGCAGAACAATTCATGTGTTTTTTGATTAACCAAAAAAAACCGACTTCAAATATCTCTGTCGCTCTGTATTCGTTTTACAATTGATTTTCGGGAGTTCAATAAGAATCTCCCGAGCCCAAGGTCCAATACCAATGAAATTATATATATTTATTTTTATTTATTGGGACATAAAACAGTTATACATTAACAATTACACATAAAATGGAATTTCTAATTATTAAACTAAACGTATAACCCAATTTCCGCAAAATAATTTTAAGTTAAATAAAATAAAAAGAGTAAGTCGGTTCCTAGCCTAATTTGCTTATTACTTTTTAAGTATTAGCGTGACCATTCTTTTAAATTGATTTTGGGAAAGTGAAAACAAATCACAATTGATAAATTTAGAGTTATATACATCTAGCACTCATGGGACCACATGGGAAGCACCATCTTTCAAATAAAAAAAAAATATCAAAACGGTTCTTTCAATTGAAAGTTCTGAAGTAACAAATATAAAAAGAATACAGTCGAATTGAGAATCTCCTCCGTTTTTGAAGTCGGTTGATAAATTGTATTCGAGTATCAGGATGGTCGTCATTCGAAGCGGAGGAATTTATGAGATCTGGTGTTATGTGTAATGTCTATCTTGAGGGTGGTTCATTTGAAATATATAATTTTTATATATTACATAAAATAAAATGTTTATACAGTGTGTCGTTACCAACGCTACAATAAATGAACACACATATAGAGGATAAATTTTTAAAATTTTCCCAAAAATTTACATTCTTTAAACATCAATATTTACAGAGTTATTAAATTTTGCAAAATAAACAATTTTAGAAGATCCTTACGTATAAAACTGTAACGTAAAGTTCATTTGTAACGGTCACAAAGCATATGAATGGGTTGAATGAATTTAAAAGAGACAAAACATACTGTTAGAAGGAGAGGCTTGTAATGCGACGCTGTGGCGCGACAATGCTCTGAATATAATCAGTCAGTGTCAGTTGTATACAAAATTTTGTTTCTTTTTTACTTAGTTTGTTTGAAAATATTTTTTTTTTAATTATGAATTTTTTTTAACGTTTATATTTTTTATGATTATTCGCAAGTAGCGTTAGACGTGTGTTTATGTATTGTCGCGATGGTAAAGACACGCTGTATATTATTTTTATATATATTTTTTATGTTATCCGATGTAAAGTGATAACAGCCGCCAATGGACATTTGCAACACCCGTGCATTTAATAAAGTTGTTAAATTAACACCACAGCATCAAATCACGGAAAATTATTTAAAATGAGAAATAAAACAAATACGGCATTTTATTTAAATGAATAAAATAAAGAAAAGTAAAAGACATTCTCTACATAAGTGCAAATTATTATATCATCTATCCTCAAAAAATGTGACTCAGTATCGCAATCGCTAAGCAACTGGCTTTGGCGCCAACGATCGTAGGTTCGATTCTCGCACTGTCAAGTGTGAATTATCAAAAATATCCTTGTGAGCTACAAATAATTGTCGGAAAAAGCCAATAGCATTAATTAGTGACGTAATTAACAAGTTTTGCCGAACCCACCTATATGGGATACCGACGAAAGAAGATCTGTGTATTTATAGCCCATGCAAATAATAAAATAAAAGATATGAATATCGAAAGCGCCACCGGTAGTAGTGTGTTGAATGATTAACTTGTCATTCCTTCTTTCTTACCAAGAAGGTTCTTCTGTCGCCGATAAGCCTCTTCGAAGCCAGGGCTTTGACCACGTGGTGGAATATCAGCAGGGAACGGTGCTGCACGAGCGGTTGGGGCGCCTTTAAAGCTCCCAACAATTCCGGCACTAGACTAGGCCAGTTGGTGGGGCAGTCGAACCTGGACCGGAACATAAAACAAGTAATACATTTTTCTAGACTTATTTTCACACAACACAACGGTTAGTGGGACAGCGAATCTAGGCCGAAAGATAAAACAAGCAATACACTTTAATAGATTTGTATTCACACAACGTTCCGCATTTGAGCCACCAAGCTAGGCCAGTTTGTGGGGCAGTCGAACCTTGGCCGAAAGATGAAATAAGTTAATTTTTTCTAAACTTATTTCCGGACAAGGTTTTGCATCATCCCGTGCTGTAAGAATGTTTCACATACACAACTTTCACGTGAACAAACACCCAGATACGAAACAATTATCAGTGGGCCACACAAATTGTCTTGCGTTGCAGGTCCGTCCGAACTCACGGAAAACCAACAAATGGAAGTGTCAACACTTCTGCGTTACGTCTTGGGTCTTCTGAGTGGGTTAAACGGGGCCAGCTTTATCAAAAAGTGGCAACGCGTCTGCAATCGTATGGGCGTGTGCATCCATGGGCGGCGGTTATCACTTAACATAGGCTGAACCGCCAGCTCGTTTGCCAGTTTCTCTCATAAATAACAACGCCCGGCACCAAAGCCAAAACCTTGGCTGACTGCGCCACGGGGTCACCAAAGTCACCTTGACCTCCGGGTTCACCAAAGCCACGCTGACCTCCGGGGTCATCAAACCCACGCTGACTTACGGGGTCATTAAAGCCGCGCCGACCACCTGGGTCACCAAAGCCACACTGACCCCCAGGGTCATCAAAGCCACGCTGACCTACGGGGTCATTAAAGCCACGCTGACCACCTGAGTCACCAAAGCCACGCTGACGTCCGCGGTCACCAAACCCACGCTGACCTCCGGGGTCACCAAAGCCAAGCTGACCTACGGGGTCATCAAAGCCACACCGACCTACGGGGTCATCAAAGCCACACCGACCTACGGGGTCATCAAAGCCACGCCGACCACCAAGTTCACCAAACCACGCTGACCTCGCTATCTTCGCGATGAGGACGGCCTGCTGCGTGGCGATCTGGGCCACTGGCTCGCTGAGCACCGGCGTGGTGAGCAAGCCCTGGCGGAGCTTCTGTTTCTCCTCCTCGGCGATGGCGTTGGGCGCGTTCCGCCGCCAGTAGCGCTCGACGCCGTTCTTGAAGCACATCACGGCCAACCAGCGCACGTTCACGTCTATCGAGTGGTTCGATAGAACGTTCTGTAAGGGAGCACTTGGTATAGTGGTCGAAAGAGTAGCAGCCTGTGCATATCCCACTGGGCAAATGCCTCCTCTGTGCAGAGTATTGGGGCATAGACCAACACGCCACCCCACTGCGGATTGACAGACTTCACATATCCTCGAAATATTCTTTCTTTTTTATCATTTAAAAAAAATACAGGTTTCCTCACGATGTTTTCCTTATGTGATGTCTTCCAATGCGCAGTGGGGTCCGACCACACTGTATATACGCGATACCTTCAGTACAGAAGAGTAAATACCTTCGACATATGTGGGACAGTAAGTATTTATAATTCAATGTTTTAATACTGTTTATTACATTTCATTTCATTTTCATTTTATTGATTAGGAAAACAAACAGCACTTACATAAAATAAATAGTACAAATTACACACTGATATGTGGGCCAATAAAGTTTTCACCACTGCATCAGATGTATACAATTATAATTTTAATGGTATTTAGATTTATAAAAGAAAAATGTTAAAAATAAGAAAAAACAGATACAAATACAAAAACTAAAACCTATATTATTTAAAAATAACATTTAAAGAATGTTTATTTCCATTTTGATTGCGGCAAAACATTTATCTATTCTCAAACACTGTCACTGTTCAACTTTATAACACTAATATAATTTTCCAATGATCATAGAAGTTCTAACATTGCTAAATAATATAAAATTCTGTGTATCCATGTTTGAAATGATGGAACTAAAGTTCAAAGATTTTTAATACAAATGAATCTTATTGTGAAAAAGTAAACATAGGATAATTTTTAGAACCAAACGAATTGAGAATTTCCCGTAATGTATGCATCACCATTCTTGGACTTAACCTACCACTAATTTGTATTCAATTTTCATGATTATTTGAGCCCTTAGTTATTTAAAATATATAAACACACCCTATTATTAGTTCCAATAAAGATCTTAATGAAATGTTGGTTATGTAAACATTTTTAAGTAGCCCAGGAAATGTAGATTTGCTAGTTTTCTACCAACATGTGTACAACAATGTGTAGATATTTAAATACTTGAAACAAAACAGAGGCAAGGGATAAAAAACACTAATACAACAAATAAAAAAATCTATTGCAACAATTAACGTACCAGTAAAACTGAGTAAAATCCCGGTTCAGTTTCCCATTCCTGTAGTTTCTTCTCAGCAGGCTTCAAAACCTCAGTGTTTTGACTTGTGGCACGGTTGAGGGTATCCAATACCAAGGCATAGATATTTGGATCCATGACTGTTACCTTCACCTATAATTTAAGGGTTATATAATTTTTTCAAATACGTAAAGGCCTATATAGTATTTCGCCAAAATAATAGACCATGATTTATATTTTGTACAGTATTAGCATTGAATGATAAAGATATGTGAACAAGAGTTAAATTTACTGCGAAAGCATACCAATTTAATTTTTATAGAAAAAAACAATTTTAGTATAAACAATTTTTTACGCTAGTTTCATTTTTTTTTATCTTTACATATATCAAATAGTAGTTCAAATTTTTAATCCTCCCAATGCTTTCATACTAATATTCTGCTTAACCAGATGAGGTGCATGAAGAATTACATAATCTTTAAATAAGTAGACTTTAAATAAGCAAGGTATATATGACCTGGGAATAGTGGATGAGAGACTAACTTTCACATGGCACATTAACAGCACACAGAATCAGTTGCTACTAAAAGAATTAAACGGAAGAAAAAAATTTTTACTTGTGCTTATTTTGCTTGTTTCAAACACCTGTCAAAATACCAAAGTCAAAATCTATCACTGGTTCACAAATTCAGAACTATCCAAAAGATAATTGGAAATTAACTCCACAGTTAATTATTGATCTTTTTTTATAGTTGTTATTCAAATAGACTTGAGTTAGACCTGAGTACAAATTGTACTACATGTATCTATAACAAGAAGAATTCACTTTTTGCTGCATGATGGTAATATTTTTGAGTGTGTTTGTATGAATGAATGAAAAATTCTGTCAGTACAGTTTTGTTTCATTTAATAATTCATGCTTGTTTTGCATAAATTTAGATTTGCTCAAATTTTTATTGAGTATTTCTAACTTTGTTGTATAATTATAGAAATTTACATGGATTTTTCAATTTTCATTGATCTCATCAAATTAGAAATGTTTAAACTTTAAAGTTTTTTTATTGTTATTCAATTTAATGATTTCAAATCCTATGTATATAATAGTTTATGTAATATAAACAATACTGATATACACTGGTACATTTTTATTATATTACTTATTGAAAAGGAAATCATCTTCCAGCTTATGCATTTAAACAAAATAACAACTAATAAATACATTCCACTATACCAAAAAATAAGTTAAAAAATTACAATAGTTAAAACTAACTACTAACATTTTATAAATGCTTTGAAACAACTATTTCACCTTATTTTTTTCTGCTTTTCCTATTACCTATTACCTACTTTAATTTAATTTTTAAATCATTGTTAGACTTCCCAAAATTGTAAGAAGAACATGAACTGCCTAAAACTTAATAAAAATAATTTTTAACAGCATACTGTGCCAACTTTAAACCTAAAGAATTAAACATTTGAGTTCATCTATGAATGTGTAAGAAATATCACTATAATTATTTACTCCTACTAAGTACATCCAAACTACAGTATGTCACATTTTCAATAGTTGTGTTCCTTAAGAATTGCTTAATACACTAAAGTATAAAAATGTACATCTGTATTTTTTCCATTATTTCACTCCTAATAATTGTTTAATAGGAAACTTTAAATATCTACCTACAAAATAACATTTTATAAACAGAAAATCATAGTGTTTTCAATAATAATAATGTCTTATATCTAGATAATGGTTAAAATGGTTGTTTACCAATTCCTTGAGGTACTGTAGATATTTTTCATGTATTGTGAAGTTACCCTGCTATTTTTCCTTACTACATTATACCAAGAAGAATCAATATGCAGTATCAACATACCATGTACTTACACAACAACTGACTTTACAATTTTATTTTAACGTTCTTGGGTTTTGCTTTTAATATAAAGTAAAAGCTCTAATAAAAATATGAGATTATAAATACCACCATAAAAATGTACCTATCTATATTATTACGTTTGTATGTTTTTACAAAAGTAGAAATCGATCCTGACATTGCGAAATACGTACCGGCAAAAATCAATTTAAATATAGCTTTATTAATATTTATTCAGGTATGTCCTAAAAGTAACAATCCCTCAACAAACCTTATGCAAAAAAACATTAAATAATTAAGGTCACTTACTTCTCACGACGAAAAAACAGATCACACAACATAACCTTATATTATTTGTGTATGACAGTCATTACTTTCAATGGCTTTGTACCCTTTAAATAACCTTCGATGCCTTGAAAATTAAAAAAGTAAGTCAGAAATAACTTTAAAATTCCTATCCATGTCGAACAATCCGTAGAATAATACTGGAAAAGCTAGTTTATATAGGTTTTCATTCGAATTCTGACAGACAATGTCAAATATAGATTTACGCTTTGCTCAGTGTTACCAACTCCCGACAACATTTGTTTGTGTAAGTTTAAGTAAAAAAAAACCCTAAAATCCCCCTAATAAAATAATATTATTAATAAGAAAGTATAAATAAAAAGTTGCGCAAAGATTTATGCCTTAATTTCACATAAATAATACAGTGATACAGTGAAGTCTATTGCAATTGTAAACAAATATTTTAGAAAAATTCATTTTATTAAAAAAATCTCTCTTATGATTTCTTTAAATAACCACTATTTCTACTGTAATTCCAAAAATGAGATTCACAATGAATGACATAAAGATTTTAATAACTTTTGGCGTTTACTTTAAAGTTTATTCTAAGCTACCACAATTGAATGCGTTTTGACGGGCACTTTAAACTTTTATCGCTACTTTCCATAGTTCAACTGCGCGTTCTTAGTAATGAAACACCTTACTTAATGTCGCTAAGCCACTAGGTCAACAATTAAATATGATTGGGCAGATTGCGTTACTCCAGTCTCTTTATTTCTATACCCTTATTTACTTAATAAAAAAATAAGAAATGGAACATAGGAAAAAATGTAAGAAGTCAAAAAATCCCTAAAAATAACCCTGAAAATGTAACGCCCCTAAAAATCCCAACACGTTTGATTACTCCCTAATTCTGGGGGAAAACTCCTAAGCTTGCAACCCTGACTTTGCTAGTTATTACTTAATAATAATAATAAAATATCTTTATTCACATAGACGCTTGCGCGTTCTTATGAAACGTCAAAATTTTAAAAAAAAACATAAATTTTAAGAAAATTTTAAGAAAAAGACAAGAAATTAACACGTTCGTAAGTTACCACCGGTTCGGAAAGCAGTTTCTGTTGAGAAGAAACCGGCAAGAAACTCAACAGTTGCTCTTTTTTTAAAAAAGTCAGTTTACAATATAAATAGTACATGTACAATAGTCTTGTTTTAGCCTACGTGAGTATCAACAGTATTAACCCCGCGTCGTCAAGATATTCAGCAATAGAATAATAGGCTTTAGCCATAAGTTTACTTTTAATTTTTCGTTTAAATTCATCAAGTGGCAGACTTAATATCGACTGTGCGATTTTATTATACATGCGCACACCTTGCCCCATGAACGACCTGTTTACTTTTTGTAAACGAAACAATGGCGTAGTTAGTTTGTCCTTATTTCTAGTATTTAGTTTATGTCTGTCACTATTCTTTAGATAACTATTAATATTATTTTTAACATACAAAATATTAAAATAAATATATTGAGACGCAACAGTGAGTATATTAATCTCTTTAAAAAGGTCTCTGAGTGTATTCCGGGCTCCGATGTTATAGATTGCTCGGACAGCTCTTTTTTGAAGAATAAATATAGAATTTATATCAGATGCATACAGATGCACTACCCCACAACAAAATGCCGTAAGACAAGATGCTGTGAAAATAACTGAAATAAACAAGTCTGGCAGTGTCGATGTCTGATAGCTGCCTAACCTTCCTAACTGCAAAAACAGCGGAGCTTAACCTGTTCGCAAGAGATGATAGATGGGGACTCCATGGAGCTTTGAATCCACTGTAATTCCCAAGAATACAGCGGACTCAACAGGATTAAGGGTTACGCTATTTAATGTTAAGCTAAAACTTCGCCTTCTTACGCTGGGAAGGGTAAAAAGAAGGCATTTAGTTTTTTTAGCATTTAACACCATATTATTAACGGTAAACCAGTGGAGGATACGCGAAAGTGCACTATATTCACGTCGTCATAATCCGACACGTTTCGGTCAACCTTAAAAATGAGCGATGTGTCGTCAGCAAACAGTACAATATCACATAACTCACTGGCATAAAAGGGGAGATCATTTATATACACTAAGAATAGTAATGGACCCAAGATTGATCCTTGTGGGACACACCATTTTCATGGGGGACCCTGTGGAATTTACATCATTATAGATACTTTTTGAATTCTATTATTAAGGTAAGAGGCAATGAGATTGAGGGCAATGTCACGAATGCCATAATAATCTAACTTTTGAAGGAGGGTTTCGTGGTCTACACAGTCGAAAGCCTTTGAAAGGTCGCAAAAGACACCTATTGCATCTTGTGACCTTTCCCAGGCGTTATAAATATGCTTGACAAGTGCAACACCCGCATCCGTTGTCGATCTGCCTTTAGTGAATCCGTTACTAGTGTTGAGTGTTGTAATTGTTGATTGTTGATTGTTGATGTTACTCTCAAGCTAACGAAGGATTTGGCCCAAGAGCCTAGGGCCGCCACCGCCAGTCGTTACTTATGTTATGAATAACATAATATACATAAAATTTAAGTAATAACCTAAGCTTTTCTCAAGTTGAAATATTTCAATATAAAAACGTTTTTTAGCATAGTTTTAGTTATCACATCAGTCGGACTTCCCGGGATGCACACGTTTTTTTTGTTTAAAATAAAGTACCTAGTCCTGTGTAGATTTTTTACACATGTGTATAAAATTTAATTCCTAAAATATTTCTAAAATAATTACCTCAAACAAAATTTCTGTTGTAAATATGTACTGTCTAAATTTACGACAAAAAATTTCTAATTTACCATTCGTATTTTTGTATAATATAGCGCAATTTTGATAAGGGCTTAGTGCGTCTTTTTTTCATCATATGGCAGTACTGCCGTTATGCAGGACGGCCAAACCACTAACGCTACTGCGCGGCGGACTGCAAGTGATGGGCGGAGCTTGCAGGTCCCTTGCAGGATGCAAGGCACGTTCTGGTCCTGCTTGGTGTTGCCAGAAACTTTGCAGGCCAGCAACACCATTCACAATCCTGCATAAAGCGGTGGACTGCACGGCGGACTGCCAGGCAGGAAGTGAATGGGCCCCTTTAAAGTTTGAGTCTTGATTTTTATATATGATATTTTGTAATCTATTTCAACACTATTTACTTGCAGCCAGACAAATTGTAGGGGCCAAATATCCCTTAGACATATATAAAATCTTCTATAAATGTTTAAAAATTCGTACAACAGTCTTCACTGTTGCACGAATGGGCAGGTCCGTCCGGGGAAGTACCTCACAGAAGACCGGCGTGAAGTGAAAGTGTTATACTTCTGCGTTTCATTTGGTTCGTGGGGTAGCCCTGCCCCACTGTAATAAAAGGTGGCAACGCATCTGCCTTTTGCCACGCTCTCATACTGAACATAATTCCCTTTAAATACTGCTATAAAGGACGATCCTAAGCTCATTACATTCATCGATTTATCGCACATTTGCACAGAACACAGGAACATATATGGCATGCACTCCACTTAGTGAGGGGGCCATATTTCTTTTCTAATTAAAAGCAAACTAATTGTATCTTGTAATTATTATCCTTAAATTACACTTGTAAAAAAGTTTACCTATACTGCGATGGCCAATACGAGGCAGCCACTCAAAAACCTTTCGGAGTTTCGTCCCTTCGGTTACCAGTTCTGTGACTTGTATGGCTGGCGCATTACAGCAAGTTAAATTTAAAAAAATAAAAAAACCATTCTGCTTTGGACCACAGAACTAAAGTGAAACTTAACTTTTTCAGAGTCTGCGTCACTACACCTACACGCTATAATGTTTTATTATTCTACCTAAAATTCACAAAATAAGAACTTTAGAAGGAATTAACAATTGCGTGCGTGCGTGCGTGCGTGTGTGTCAAATGCATGCTAAAGTATATAATATTTTTTTATTGCTTTAATGTTATTCTTATGCATAATTTAAAAACATATTACCATTCCGCACTTCTTCTTCTCTATATAAACTATAAGTGTGGGAAATTACATACTCCTCCGCGCAATTCTCATAAATGGGTACAAAGTGTCTGCTTCGCGTAACAATATATAGAAGATTATATATAATTTGTATCATAATAAAACTAAAAAAACCTATGTAAACTGATCAAATAATGAAGTTACATTTTTTATACAGAATAAATTAAATTATTATGATTGCGAACTAGGGTATCAATTGCCAGTCAGTAGGGGTGGCCCAGATTGAACAGCCTATTGACGGCAAATCTGTAAATCCACCACTGCTGGGACCTAGGTGTAATGTGCGTACGCGATCTATTTTATGCTCGAATGTGGGACATAGTATTTCTAAACAAAATTAATATAATTGGATTAATATTTTTGTTTGAACATTATAATCCAACCCACCATCAGGTTTTAAACATTCAATGTTTATTACAAGCTTTTTTCTTATATTAATTATTGATTTTTTTGTAACTTCAACTCAACTCAACTTCGAGGGAATGAGATTTTTTCATAGTCAAGATGTTCGCTTATATATTTATAATGCAATGACTTGTATACCTATGTCATTTTAAGAAGATTGTAATTAATTTGTGGCACTATAAATGTTAATGATGTTCCTATTTTAATTTTTAAATTTTAAATTTTATTTTTCTTTCCCATTGCAATTGTAATTTTATAACCTATTGATAATCATCATCATCATCATCATATCAGCCGTAGGACGTCCACTGCTGAACATAGGCCTCCCCCATTGACCTATTGATAATGAGAATAAAAAATTATGACTTGGGGTAATCAATTAACGGAATGTATCATATAAAATAAATGATGATCATAAAATAACTGTATGACACTGATTGAAAAACAATTTTTTATATTTGTTCCTCGACTATTTATTTCATTGACTTGAAATAATATTTATTGTCTGTATATTGACACGAAAGCATTTATGTTGGTTATTTTTATTTTAATGGCAACATTTATTTTCGAAGACCGCCATCTTGTGCAATTTCTGGCAAATTAAAGTCAAATTATAATATAATTATTGACAGCAACTGTTTAAAACAAAAAATATTGGAAACATATAACTATTTAGGCGTTATATAATTATTGGTTTTAACACACAATACTTTTTAATCATTTACTGCTGATTACTTATAAAAATATTATTAAGATTTATTTCGACTACTTCCTGTTTTCATGACTTTTGAGAAAGCGGATATGGTTGGTCCGCCATAATCATTCGTGTGGGTCTGTGGTTGTGTGGTTTGGGTGTCTTACCGGTGCCAAGCATTATTTTTAATTAGTAATAAGTTATGCGTATGAATCCAGACATGGACGATGACGAGAAGGGGTGAGTATATTTCTGTACATTTTTTAAAACTTTTAAAGGTTTTTTGGGTACGTCAAACTATAATAGGTCAAACTGCATGTCGCTTGCTGTGTCGCATTTCAAGATCGGCCAGCACGGCTAGCTAAGTAGGGTTACGTGTTCGATATCGTTGCGTTAAGGAAGATTTTCTATTATATATTTAATGCGATTGAATGTCTTGTGTTTGCGTGTGGGAGTTCAGTTCATATTTGTTCAATTAGCCTTTTACCGGCGAGCGGCCACCGACCCCAAGCCTAAGTGTGCGACTTGCGTGCTAACGATCATGGCAGCTTTACTTTCTCATTGTTTTCGCTCAGTTTCAACATTATGCCCTTTTGAAATCGAAATATTTGAATAATAATGTTTATATAACTGTTTATAACCGAAATGCTTGCGATGCGGAAACGTCGCAGTGTATGTAAGATTAACCTTTCTGTGACGAATCATTGCTTTCTCTTATCGTTTATATCGCGGTATTGCTTTATTAGTATTACGTTAATTTTTAATATTTCAATTTATAATCAGCTCGAATGTAATGTACCCGTTAAATAATGAGGTTATTAGAACAACTGAGTGCCGCGTAGCTCAATCTCATTTACGAGACTGCTAAAACATGCTGATTCATTTGCATATAGTTACCTACGTCGACCGTGCAAAATGTCTTCATCGATTGCACGCATTTTTCGCGATTCGAGCATGTGTTTACTTTATAAAAGCACGTATTTTGTAAGATAAGGCGTTGGGGTGCTTTTTTCGCGCATGGCAAACGCAATGTGCGATAGCCTTAAAGATGGTTTCATTAAAGTTGTTAATCAATGGAGCTAATTTGTCTTATCACGATAATTTAGATTATCTACAGTAATATTTGACAAAGAAGCTCTATACTTACTGCTGAAATGAGCACAGATAAGCTGTAGAATTTTTCCATACACTTTATGAACAATCACATCTGAGATTACAAGTCAATGTCACTTTCACCAGTTGGGCAATTATGTTCTTTAGAATATCTGTATCGGTCTACTTAAAATGAAGTAATATTAATTCCGTCTCTTTTAATTGCAATGATTGTGAGTAAATAATACCATATATTCAATAGGTATATTAAAAATATCACCACTTATCACATTGTATATTACAAATACATTAAATGTAGATAACAGTTATTGAAATAGGTATTTAGGTCATCTTAAACATGATTCTATAGCTTATTTTTTAAAAAGTCTAATGTTAATCATTGATATGAATTAAGTTTACTCATCAATGATTAGTAAATTATAATTTGCTAATTTTTTTTTATAGGATTAAAATGTACTTATATTACTATATAGGAATATAAGTTGGAAATTTATTTTTCTATCTTTCTTTTTAATTATTCAAAGTATCTTTATTCAATATAGGCATAACTTAAGCTGTTATTGAATATCAACAAAAAAATTACTACTATTACTCTATTACTGATTATTGTTTGCCAGACCTAATTATGTTGTGCTGAAATCATTTGTTTACATTAACAATTTTTGACATTTGGTGATGTTAATACAGATAGAGATAGTCCTTCTATAAATGAAAGGGTTTCTTTGGGTGCCATTAATTCTTCTACAATTTCATTTGCAAGATTTTTCTTATGGGGAAAAAAATTAAGGCACAGGTAAAAGAGAAATGGTTTATTTGAAAAAATCTAATCAGATTGGGCTATGAATGAGCTTATATCTGAAAATATCAACAAATGTTTAGGTATGTAAGTACCTTGAAATGCTTTTTAAATTATTTTCCATGCCTTCCAGCCTAGTTGACAATCATGAGGGCTTATGATATTTTGGTATTTGTTATTCATGAATGCAGGATGCATGGTTGAAAAAATTGTGATGTGTGGTAATTTCAGAAAAGTAATAATGTTTATGTCACATTGGCTAGTATTGGATATGTTTGATTTCCAATAATGTTTACATAGTTTTTGTTTTACTTATTATTTTATAATTATTATCATTGTCGACCTCATGACAATAGTTCAAGCCTGATAAAGATAATTAAAAAAAAATAAAGACAATACTTCAAACCTGATTGTCCTTGTCAGGTTAATTTTATTACCATACAACACCGGTAGCACAACATGCACTAGATTTTTTATATTTAAAAGCAACATATTGATAACCACTGTTATGTTTGTGAGGTTAGCTTCTTAGTGGCCACTGGGTTGACGTATTATTTGAACTTGTGAAATGAAAGTGGAAAGGTAAATCAATTTTAAGATTTTAATAAAGGGCGCATTGTTGTGTAGAACATTGGTTGATTAATTTGCAAATATCGATTGTTTGCAAAAATAATTTACAAATAAGCGCTTTACGGCCGTGAAGAATTGATAAGACAGTAATAATTTGTAATAAAAAAAAGATTATTGTCTTAATAGAAAAATAATAGAATTGAAATTAAAATATGAACTATGAATGATATTTCCTTTAACAATATATAATGATGATTAAATTCCAATGAAATCTTCAATAATTGCCATTCTTTTTACATCAAAAAATTCCAAAACTCGCGTGTATACGATAAGCTCAAAATTAGAAGAGCAAAGAAACCAGTTTGATTTAAGTTTCTATAGTGGCACACAGCTTATGCCTTGTTGTAAGAGTAGGCTGACTCTTTCACCAGGTCCTCACAGAATACCGACATCAAGTGTACGCATGATACTTCTGCGTTTCCTCTGGTTAGTGACGTCCGGGAGGACACTTAAAGGTCGGAAACCACTTAAAATCAGTCGCAACCGCCTACTCGCAGTTCTATCTACGCCAATGTAATATACATCAACACTTATATACATATTGATTAATAATCTCAAAAATATGTAAAAGTGACTCGGTGGCACAGCTGCTAAGCTATTGGCTTCGGTGCCGGCGGTCGTGGGTTCGATTACCACACGGGACGAGTGCGTAATTGTTCCGAATCCTGGTGTTTGTCCCCAAGGAAAAAAAACCCACTTGCAACACGAATCAAATGTTGTGGCAACCCTACTTAAGTGGGATAAGGACAGATGATGACAATGCAAGATTTGTAAAATTAAAAAAAAAAGTTTAACCAGTAATATTCAAGTCGCGTTGAAGCGGAGTCGACGGGACTACCGTTACGTTAAAAATCAATATCAAAATCCGTGTAGGTGTTAGTATTGTGCAAGGGCGTTTGTTTGAATAGAACCTCTTTTCTTTTTAATTTTATAATTCAAAACTGGCCAGCAGCTGACTGCCATCCCACCTGATGGCAAGTGGGCGACGCAGCCGTTTTTGGTAGTTGTTGTGTTAACATATTATCGTTGTTCCCGCGACAGAAAACTGTTCGTTGGCGGTCTCTCGTGGGAGACGTCGCAGGAGAACCTGCAGAGGTACTTCTCGCGCTACGGCGACGTGATCGACTGCGTCGTGATGAAGAACAGCGAGTCTGGCAGGTCGCGAGGGTTCGGCTTCGTCACCTTCGCAGAGCCGTCCTTGGTGAATGTTGTGCTGCAGAACGGGCCGCACCAGCTCGACGGCAGGTGAGTGCAGATAGTGGGAGGTGGTTCGGTCTACCCGGTCCGCCCGGATGCGACGTGTCTTCACAATAGGCGGCTATCTAGTGAGTGCCGATGGATGGAGGCGGTACCCGGCAGTACCGCCCGGATGCGACGTGTCTTCACAATAGGCGGCTATCTAGTGAGTGCCGATGGATGGAGGCGGTACGGTCCGTGCAGTACGGTACTACTGGCGGTAGGCCGAACCTATCGGCCTACCGTCAGGATACGACGTGTCTTCACAACAGGCGGCTATCTAGCGAGTCACCACTCGAAAGTCGAGCTTATTTTAAGCTGTTATGTACGACTTGATGGGTTTTAGCTTGAGAGATGTCTTTAGATTCGTATTTACTGTGAGAGTGACACGGGGTATATCAAAATAAAAAAAATACAGATTTTTAGGGTTCTTTAAATTATATTCTACTTGTTTCCTTTTTTTTTTTTTTTTTTTTCTAATTATGTAAGCACACAAAAGTATATTAATATGAAATAGGCAGGGGCCAGGGGACTTGCAAGTGCAGAGCAATAGTCATTTCCACACATCCTTGTCCTCAATGTAATCTTCGACATTACAATAGGCCCTTTCCATTAAGGTAGCTTAGCCACTGACGACCGCACTCTGAGATGACAATTACTAATTACGCGTTCGGTCTTTCCGCCCGGAGAGTGTCGTCACAATACGGAGCTCTGGTTCGTTGCCATTGACGATAGTGCTCAGAGATTACAGATGGTACGGTGGCGCGGTTGCTAAGATATTGGCTACGGCGCTGGGGTTTGTTTATTTATTTATTTAACAAGGCTTATCAACTAAATACATATATAAACAATTATTATTCTGATGAGATGCACTTAAAAATTAAGTTAAACATTGTATATATTATGCCTTTAAATTAAAGGTAAACACAACATCGAATAAAAGACTTCCTTTAAGGGGAACAGTAACCTACAAAACTAGCACTACAATAAAATAATAAAATTAGAACAGTAATAAACCTAACTTATATTAGAAAATAAAATGTTAGTAAATAGAAAAAAGAGAGGAAAGAAAAAATAACTTTTAAAATGAAACGGTTCGTGGGTTTGATTCCCACACGGGACAGGTATTTGTGTGACTCACAGATAATTATTGTTCCTAATCTGGATGTTCGTTTCCACAAGGTGGGTCAACGTAAGGCAGCTAGTCTTGTAAAAACTAGAGAAAACCATTAAAAATCACATGTTGAGCCGACTCCACTTAGGATGAGGGCAAGACGATGATGATGGAGGGGAGATTAGTTACCTAACATTATTTTCTATCATTGGTGGAGTTTACAAACACGTGTCGATAAAACTCCATTTGTCCGAGTACGGCAAGTAAGGTGTGCGTCACAAGTGGTAGGTGGTGCGGTTGCTAAGCTTATCGGCCCCGGTGCCAGGTGTCGTGGGTTCGATTCCCGCGGGACAAATATTTGTCCCACACATTTATGGTTCCCGAGGGCGTTAGTTGCCAAGGAGGGTTGACGTGTAGGGCAGTAGCAATACATTCATATTCTATGCCGGTATAAATTCAGTATATATTCTGTTTCGTCAAATTTCCACTTCGGGCTGTAGAGTTGACGAGATCGATACAGTTCAACGAGGAAAACAGCTAAGATTTTGTTTTCCCTGTATTCTAACTGAGCTAAACAAACAAGTTTTTTGTTATTGCTATGGAGCCACTAAACAAATTCTTTTCCTTTTTCATTCGAAGCACATAAATAATCCCACATTACGTTACTGCTTTGGCGATGCACTATATTTCATTCATATTGCGAACGGGGTTTCTCTTATTTTTTTTTTTAAATGTGAAATGTTGCCAAACGAGCAGACAGGTCACCTGATGTTAAGTGAATACCGCCGCCCATGGACATCTGCTACACCCGAGGGTTCCAGATGCGTTGACAACCTTTTGAAAATTAGGCTCCGGCTACCTCACTCACCAGTCGAAACGCGAAAGTATTTGTCATACTTCCACTTTACGCTGGTCTTCTGTGAGGTCGTGGTACTTACCCGGACGGGCCTGCTCATCCGTGCAACAGCCGAGGCTGCTGCGTGGCCCTACCACCGTAAAAAATAATAAATAAACTAAATCGATTGTTTTAAATCTAACAACGTGGATACATACATAGCTAGTGATTTCCTCTTTGAGACCCTAACTCTCTTTGAGACCCTAACGCCCGGTTACTGAAACACTAATCATCGTAGATGTCAACTAATCAGCTGTCGAATAGCTTTTCAAATTTCATTTTGGTTGGCAAAAGTATGGTTAAACTCTCTGAATTGACAGAATGATCTTCTAAATGATCAGAATGATCAATTCAAAGAGTTTAACCATTTTTTTGGCAACTCAAATGAAATTTTAAAGCCATTTGATTAGTCGACATCTACGATGATCAGTGTTTCAGAAACCGGGCGTAAGCGTAACAGGTGGCCAGCCTATAGACGCGCCGGCTGTGAATTCAATACTTCAATTTTAACACTTACATAGGAAAATCGCGGTGAATGCTTTCACATAGTAACGTCGTACATAGTGCAGAACCCCAAATCTTGTTTCAATTCCATCAGCACTCTTATAGGTCTAGACTATAGAGGACATGCTGATATCGATATAATAACTTATTCGTATGAGAGCCAGATGGTATCCTTTATTAGTTAGTGTCAAATGTAATGGTCGTCTTCTACGAGGTGACGATTGTCCGGAGATAATTAAAAAAAGGGTTTTACGGAATTGACAAATTTGGGGGCTGTGCTTAGCATATAGTATACATCCGAACCACAGAGGCTATAAATTGGGAATATGATCAGTGAAGGCCTCTAATGACGTCAGCAGTTGTTATATTATAAATATTTATCGACTATGTTTTCAGTAAGTCACATATTTTTTTATAGCAAGATTATCCAATATCAATGTTCGGTATTTCACAATCAGGTTTTTGCACGAATGGGTAGGCTCATCCGGGTAAGTGCCACGACCTCACAGAAGACGAGCGTAAAGTGGAAGTATGACAAATACTTTCGCGTTTCGTCTGGTGAGTGAGGTAGCCGGAGCCCAATTTTCAAAAGGTTGTTAACGCATCTGGAACCCTCGGGTGTAGCAGATGTCCATGGGCGGCGGTATTCGCTTAACATCAGGTGAACCGTCTGCTCGTTTGGCTAGTTTTCACATAAAAAAAATAAGTAATTGAACTAACTTAGTGATGGTCATTATCATTATTACTTATCATAACTAGTTAGAAAAATAAACCGGTTCAAAGTGATTTACTTTATTGCTTTCTCTATATTTTATCAAGTACGCACACGATTTGAAAGGAAATACATTGAAGCGTCGTTTTTAATTTAAAAAAAAATCTGACACACTTCTCAATCAAAAAATAAACTCAACTGAAATCCCAATAAATCTATCGTCGAGAAATCCCCAATACCCTGTTGCCCCGTCAACGTCTGTTTTTGGTTAATATATTTTTAAAGTTCGGGGAAAAGATTGCACGGTTCGCAGCGTCTGAATCGACCGAGCGAGTGAAACGGCACCATACAGCGGTCCCGCTCTGACCGTTGACTGATAACAAGTTGGCGTATATCTATCGAGAAACCGCCAGTACTTCGCATTTCAAGGCTGAAGCCGGCGGCAGTCCCTTCACTATGATACTACTCACAATACCGCGTTATCTTAACCATACTTTTGTGACTTACACGCACACAAGAAAACTAGGTCCACGCTATTCTGTACTTAGTTTAGTGTTGTGACTTTATAGTAACGCATCTGTGTTGCATATGTCCAAGAGCGGCGGATATAACTTAACATTAGGTGAACCGCCGGCTCTGTTGCCACCTACTAAACTAATAAAAGAACCGTTGGTCGACGTCTGGCCACGCTGTTTATGGCTTGTTTGACAGAATATCTTTAGGCATGGAACCGTCAATTTACAGATGACGTGAAGCTTAACTTATATTTGTTGTATTCTAATAAAGCAACTCACTTTTTTAATTTTATAAACATAAATAAATATTAGTAATCATTTGAAATGTAGAATGAAATGTTGGTCTCTTAATTTCGGGAAAATCCTCTCGTGGTATTTCTATATTCGAATTAGAAAACAGTCGCGCACGTGGAAATAACCGAAGTCTAAAACGAGGCACAAAACGTGACCCAATTAATCGGAAACAAATAGCGACTGGTGAGCTTTTGACCGCTGTGATAAAATTGTAAACGTACGCATAAACACGAGCAGTTGTTTGCTATTTTATTTATTTAATTTTTTTGTCTATGGATATGAGACTTGCAAGTGGCTAATACCACCGCAATTCCACATTCGAGAGCAATTGACACAGACAGAGTTCCAGTTTCAAAAGCAACGGAAAGGAGCGGCTAATAATTGTGTGCAGTGCTTTTAAAATGCAAAGATGGCGGCTTGGTGCATTAACAAGCGACGCGACTTATGAATCTAGATTTCTATTCTATCAATTACAAACTATCGAAGTTTATCTTTCATTGAGAAATGGCTAGAGATACTATAACTCCAAGTGGTACTTGACGTAGTAGGTGTTTGGTGGGCGCTTTAGCTCTGTAAAAGCCCATTCAATGTCCGTTAATAAATTTGCTATTTATAGAAACTTACTGCTGGGTTACGGCACATTTGTTCTTTGGGAAACTTACCCGATTTTCAGATTTGTGGTATCGAACCCGCGATAAATACATTTATGCTTTTTGCTTGGATCAATAAGGTCATGGCTGCTACTAATGCATTTTTAGTTCATTAAACCGTTTCAATATCGTTGTTTTAGTAATCGGTTTTGAATTTAAATCTTTGAGCCACTCACGACAAGTCGTTTGTATTTGTTCGGTTAATTCACGCGTCACGTTTCGTGCGTGATATATTTCGTTGTAATGTTACTTTTAATATTGTTAAGTGATTGTTTGAAAAATATTCCTCGGTTGTTCATTCAATGGAGAGAGCAGCCATTTTGGA